CACACACACATATATATATATATATATATATATATATATATATATATATATATACTACTGGTATAATATATAATACTAGTATAATGTTTTAAGCATGACTTGATGTTTTTTCCTCAAATCTTCCCACATCCTGGTTGAACTCCTCTGAGGGACATTGCCAGTGATTCAGCCTGCAAGCCTGCAGGCTGTGTCTTTAAAAACTCTGTGCTATGATGAAACTCTCAGCTTAATGGCATCTCTGTGATAAAACCAGGCATAATAGAACAAAAAAAGCTGCAGGTCATATGCATGTCATATGTAGGACTGCAGATCATATGTATGCAAGTGAGGTTTATTGCATGAGACAACAGGATATGAGCAGTTTAGTATTAGATAACAAAATACAAAACTCAATTAAACTTAAAATCTCTTTATGTCTGCCTGTTTCACTTTCTATATTGTGGGACAACCTCAGGATAATTCTCTCCAAATGCCAGCCGCAAACATTCACAAACAAGATAATCTTCACTGTCTAAATTAATCCAAAGCCTTATCTGGATTTCCAGTAGAAAGGTTGCACACTAATCCTTAGGTACCCCAGTGTGTGTCAGATTGTTATATAGATTTTGTACTAGTGACAAAGAAGTTCAAAAAGGGACACTTGTGTGTTTTTTTTAAAACACAGACACAAGCATATACAGAATTAAATATGTTAGCAATAAACACAATAATATGCTTTTTTGGCCCTTGCACTGTTCTTTGTAAATTAAATTTCCTGCAATATACCGTAAAACACCAATTTCCTGTCTCTTCCTGTCAAATTTTTTGTCTCTTCTAGGCCATGAGCTACCATTTTTCATCTTGCATCACTCCCTGAGAAGTCAGCAAGATCAATGTCACATGCCCAGTGAGCCCGTGCAGGAAGCCTTTAGTTCTGGCCAGCAGACAGAGGCTCCTCCCAAGACCCCTCACTTCATGCTAAAAAACAGAACACACTCTCCTAGAGGTGAGTGCATTTGTCACTAACAGAACACATATGGCTATCTCAGTAAAACTTTATAATTTCATCAAATACTTAGTAAGACTAGTGACTTTTCTGATGGCCCGTTCTTTATGGGGTTCTCTACAGTATGTGGCTGTCCAGAGGCCATTAGTAGAACAAAATCTGCTGACTTTTACTGCACTTTATCTACTGAAGGAAAATTTGTGAAATTCTGTAGAATGGAATTAAACATGGATTTAAAATGTGTTAAATTGAGCTGTAAGTACTATACTCTTATTGGTAGCTGAAGCCTAAATTTTTCACAAATTAGAAGGGTCAGGGGACATATGGACCTTTGTGATTGATGAACGGTTCAATTCTGCTGAGTTTTCTGCCGAGTTCTGCAGGCACAGATTCAGTGTGCAACTGTAGTGAGACGTCAGGCAAATTGGCATATAGCCTATATTTTAAAAACTGTAACTTTATGAGTCAAAATTCCATTCACATAAATGCTTACATCTTTTATTATTACTATTATTTTTTACACTTTTAGTTGTTTTTGTTTTTGAAAGAAATTAATACTTTTATTCAGCTAGGATGCATAAAATGTATCAGGAGTGACGGTAAAGACATTTAAAATGTTTCAATTTGAATAAATATTTATAAATATAAAATATTTCTATTTGAAATTGTCTTCTGTTCTTTTGAACTTTCTGTTTCTCAAAGAATCCTGAAAAATGTATTTGTGTATTTATGCTTCAAACACCTAGCTTAAAACGGCCATAAATTATAACAATTTCTATGAATTCTTCCAAATTAAAACTGTAGTGATTCTGTCATCATTCATACACCATGTCATTCTAAACCTCCAAACATTCAAACTCCAAAATAATTCTTATATTTTATAAATTTAAGGTGCTTTCTGGCATTTTTGAAGTTCAGTGAATTGATTGGTTTTCATAATTTTTATTATTTTTTTTTTTTGCTGAAATAATTGCTGGAAAGCCATATAATAATAATTATTATTATTATTATTATTAAACCTTCTGTTTCCTATTTCAAAATACATTAAAGTGTATTTTATGTACTGTGAGAATATCCCCACTCACCAAAGGTCATCTTGTGTATTAAATGAAATTTTCACTGAAGGAAAAAGTGACTTCTCTGTCTCCTGTAAGTGATGATGGCTGGACAAATGTGCACTGGGAGCTGCCATTTAAACTCAAATTACTCCAGTGCTCATGGCCAGAGTTTAATATGCTTGAATATTTACCCTGGCAGTCTGTGTCCTGTTTCTCATAAAGCATGCAGATCCCAGTGGCAGAAAGGATGTTCATGTCCTGAACTGTTTATAGCACAGCCTAAGGTAAAGTCATGGAAGAGAACACCAGCACAGTATTGTACAGCACCAGGTTTACAATATCTTGACAGACCTGTTTGCATAATGGCATCTCTGTGATAAAACCAGGCATAATAGAACAAAAAAAGCTGCAGGTCATATGCATGTCATATGTAGGACTGCAGATCATATGTATGCAAGTGAGGTTTATTGCATGAGACAACAGGATATGAGCAGTTTAGTATTAGATAACAAAATACAAAACTCAATTAAACTTAAAATCTCTTTATGTCTGCCTGTTTCACTTTCTATATTGTGGGACAACCTCAGGATAATTCTCTCCAAATGCCAGCCGCAAACATTCACAAACAAGATAATCTTCACTGTCTAAATTAATCCAAAGCCTTATCTGGATTTCCAGTAGAAAGGTTGCACACTAATCCTTAGGTACCCCAGTGTGTGTCAGATTGTTATATAGATTTTGTACTAGTGACAAAGAAGTTCAAAAAGGGACACTTGTGTGTTTTTTTTTAAAACACAGACACAAGCATATACAGAATGAAATATGTTAGCAATAAACACAATAATATGCTTTTTTGGCCCTTGCACTGTTCTTTGTAAATTAAATTTCCTGCAATATACCGTAAAACACCAATTTCCTGTCTCTTCCTGTCAAATTTTTTGTCTCTTCTAGGCCATGAGCTACCATTTTTCATCTTGCATCACTCCCTGAGAAGTCAGCAAGATCAATGTCACATGCCCAGTGAGCCCGTGCAGGAAGCCTTTAGTTCTGGCCAGCAGACAGAGGCTCCTCCCAAGACCCCTCACTTCATGCCATATAATAATAATTATTATTATTATTATTATTAAACCTTCTGTTTCCTATTTCAAAATACATTAAAGTGTATTTTATGTACTGTGAGAATATCCCCACTCACCAAAGGTCATCTTGTGTATTAAATGAAATTTTCACTGAAGGAAAAAGTGACTTCTCTGTCTCCTGTAAGTGATGATGGCTGGACAAATGTGCACTGGGAGCTGCCATTTAAACTCAAATTACTCCAGTGCTCATGGCCAGAGTTTAATATGCTTGAATATTTACCCTGGCAGTCTGTGTCCTGTTTCTCATAAAGCATGCAGATCCCAGTGGCAGAAAGGATGTTCATGTCCTGAACTGTTTATAGCACAGCCTAAGGTAAAGTCATGGAAGAGAACACCAGCACAGTATTGTACAGCACCAGGTTTACAATATCTTGACAGACCTGTTTGCACAGCAAGGCAAGGCAAGTTTATTTATATAGCACATTTCGTACACAATGGTAATTCAAAATGCTTTACATAAAAGAAAGTAAAATAATCATTAAAAAAATAATAATCACAAAAATAAAACTGTTTTTGAAGATGATTTAAAAATTGATTTAAAATGAATTTAAGACAATTAAAAATAAAAAATTATTATACATACATAAAATACAGTGCAATCAGTTCGGACATCGCACAGTGCTCATTCAATAAATGCACAGCTAAACAGATGAGTTTTGAGTATAGATTTGAATGTGACTAATGTTTTAGCACGTCTGATCTCTTCTGGAAGCTGATTCCAACTGCGGGCGGCAAAAGCAGATTCCCCTTGTTTTGTGTGAACCCTTGGCATTTCTAACTGACTCGATCCTAATGATCTGAGTGGTCTGTTAGGTCTATATTCAGTGAGCATATCTGCAATGCATTTAGGTTCTAGGCCATTGAGTGATTTGAAACGAGTAAAAGTACTTTAAAATCAATCCTAAATGTAACTGGAAGCCAATGTAAGGACCTGAGGACTGGTATGATATGCTCAGATTTTCTGGTTCTTGTCAGAATCCTGGCAACAGCTTTTGGATGAGCTGCAGCTGTCTAATGGTCTTCTTGGGAAGGCCGGTGAGTAGACCATTACAATAGTCTACCCTGCTGGTAATAAAGGCATGAACAAGTTTATCCAAGTCTTGACTGCAAGAATTAGATATTTTGTTTCCAATGTTTTTGAGATGATAGTATGCTGATTTAGTTACTGCTTTGACATGACTATTGAAACTAAGGTCTGTCTCCAGAATCACACCAAGATTCTTGACTTGATTTTTAGTTGTTTGACCCCTAGAGTCAAGGTATGCATTCACCTTGAGAACTTCATCTTTGTTTCCAAATGCAATGACTTCAGTT